CAATAGAAGAGATGGTTGATTTTGGTTTCTTGTACAACCTGACCAGGTCGGTGATACGTACTCCACTTTCATACTTATCAATGATCTCTTTCTTTATTTCAATAGGAATCCTAACCCTTATTGCTGTAGGGTTGGAACTAGAAGCTTTCTTGGGGCCCATGGTCACTTATTTTCCAGAAACACCACCGAAAACACTGTAATAATACGAAATATTCCGAGTGTATGCTTGAATGTTACCGCGGAGGCTGGCTGGTAAACAATGGCACAGGCGGCACATGTGAGGCTGGCTGAGGGCGCACATTGGACGCGTCTCGGACGAAGGCCGCTGAGCGGGTTTTTGTCCACTATGCGGGGCAAAATTTTAGCGAACAAAGCGTCCGCTATGCGGATTGTCCGCTATGCAAGGCGTCCGCTATGCGGGGGTCCACTGTATATCATGTTTCTATGTTATTCATATTGTTTGTTATGTCATAGTAGATGAACTGTGATATATAAATAAGCCATATAGATGATATTAGCTAAATTATTCATGAAGTATTTTGCCCGGTCTTCAGACAAACTCTTGTCCACCGCCAGCACCGCCCATACCACTACATGAATGACATTTTTTATTCATTCTAGAGTACACCTACCATCCGACTTACGACCTGCTCGACTTTCGACCACTCGACTTACGATCGTGCTTTTTATGCCAAATTTCTGGGAAATAAACAACTATTTGTGTTGTACACAGTGTTTATCCGAAATCTTACAGTATAAAATACAGTACTAACAGTGTAAAAAGTAAAGTAAAACATGAAATACCAAAATAAAACAATAAAATAAAGTCATTACAAAAATGTGATGTTGATATTCAGTAGTAAAGTTCGACTTACGACCGATTTCTCGGAACCGAACTCGGTCGTAAGTCGGATGGTAGGTGTATATATCATGTTTCCATGTTATTCATATTGTTTGTTATGTCATAGTAGATGAACTGTGATATATAAATAAGCCATATAGATGATATTAGCTAAATTATTCATGAAGTATTTTGCCCGGTCTTCAGACAAACTCGTCCACCGCCGACACTGCCCATACCACCACATGAATGATATATATTATTTATTTTAGAGTATATATCAGGTTTGTATGTTATTTATATTGTTTATTATGTCATATTAGATGAAGTGAGATAGATAAATAAGCCATAGAGTTGATATTAGTGAAATTATTGAAGTACAGAATTCCACTGGAACGGATTAATTGCATTTCAATTAATTTAAATGAGGAAAATTGACTCTGCAAACGAGCAAATCCAGTTGCGAGCAAGGTCATGGAACGGATTAAACTCGCAAGTAGAGGTTCCACTGTAATAGCATTTACTTAGCCTAACAATACTGCTTCCTTAACCTATTGAACCACGGACAATCATAAAACACATGAAAACATCGTAAAATATTGTACGTATATACGAATGCAGCTGGGCATTCGTGAATCTTCGAAGCTCGCAAAAGTGGAAGGCTAGCTGTACAGCAAAACAAGTTAACACATGACCTGAGGCTCCATTGTCACAGCTTTTGCTTAAAACTGTAAGGTACTGGTTTGATTTCCATGCAGGCTGATATGTAAGTAAAAGGCTTCTTACAGACTTAGTTTGCCTGACACAAAAGAGGTACATGGATGTTAATCAACTGTTGTGGCTCCATTAATGAAACCAAAAGTACGAAATTTGATGAAAAGCTGACAGAATTACACTCTTGCAAACTTAGCAGTCTTGGCAACATGTATGAATCAGCAATTCTGACTAATTTGAGTCCTATTTTAGGTCAATTCCATTGTTCCAGTGAGCCAAATGCTTAGCTATTTTGCTAGTATGTCTTTCATTCTAAACTGCCCATTTAACTATTTCAACTACCCAATAAAGTGATAAGAAATTGGTGAATTAGCCAATTTCACACAAAATTAAAAAATTGCCAATTTAAAAATAGAGTACAGAATAAACATGCAGACATTTCTGGCATTAAAACATTTCCTCTATTCATTAGTTACGTCCCCAAGCCGCTCCTAAATTACACTTGGCTTACATTTTGAATTTTTATTCAAACAAAAATTAGAAGATTTACTGTTATGCAGAGTACTGCATAACAGTAAATCTGGATGAAAATTGGACAAGTGATATAATTTGTGTCCTCTGGAATATCAGAAAAATTCAAACATTTCTGCTACTTTGAGCTCAATTTCAAACAACTTCCAGTCTTGAAGCCAATCAAAATCATCTCTGCTTCTGTAATACATGTATATCTTCCATCCTATTGGATGATACCAAGAAGTGGAAAATACAGCGATAAAAGCCTTCTGAAAATAATCTGTAAAGTTACTATTTTACACCAAATACACATAACTTATTTTTCCATCATTCACTGAGGCAGAATTTATTTTTATATGTGCACACTCGCCACATAGATCCATTCTTTCATATCTAGGCCCAAATTTACCACTCATGGCTTATCTGAGTGAGCTAAGCTTATCATGTAGTTCTATGGCACAGACCTTGAAAGGGTTAAGAACAATTACAAAAACCAGAAAAACAATCATATATTGGCATCAATAAACTGAAAAATTAGGAGAAGGTGTGGAGTTAATAAAAGTATTAGTCAGAGGGCTGAAGAGGGGTTGTTGAGGTGGTTTGGTCATTTAGAGAGTATGGATCAAAGTAGAATGACATGGAGAGTGTATAAATCAGTAGGGAAAGGAAGGCGGGGTAGGGGTCGTCCTCGAAAAGGTTGGAGGGAGGGGGTAAAGGAGGTTTTATGGGCAAGAAGCTTGGACTTCCAGCAAGTGTGCATGAGCATGTTAGATAGGAGTGAATGGAGACGAATGATTTTTGGTACCTGACGAGCTGTTGGAGTGTGAGCAAAGTAATATTTAGTGAAGGGATTCAGGGAAACCAGTTATTTTTATATAGCCGGACTTGAGTTCTGGAAATGGGAAGTACAATGCCTGCACTTTAACCCCTTGACTGTCGAAACCCCAAATCCTGAGATGTCTCCTGGTGTCGAAAAATTTGCGGAAAAAAAAAATTTCTTATGAAATGATAGAGAATCTTTTCCCGATGGTAATGACACCAAAAGAACGAAATTTGATCGAAAACTTACAGAATTACGCTCTCACGAAGTTAGCGACCTCGGCGATATTTACGAATCGGCGATTTCGCCCACTTTGAGCCTTATTTTTTCGCTACTTCCATTGTTCAAGTCGATCAAACTCATAGCTATTTCTTTAGAACTCCATTTGTTCTATCGATTGAGTACAAGAAACTGCCCATTTACCGATTTCAACTACCCAATAACGTGGTCAGAAATTTGCAATTTGGCCAATTTCACACAAATTAAAAAATATGCCAATTTCAAAATAGGGTCTAGAATGAACAATGCAGACATCCCTGGCTCTAAAATAACATTTTCTTTGTTCATCAGTCATGTCTCCAGGCCCCTCTGATATTACTCTTGCTTTCTATTTTGAATTCTTATTCAAACAAAAAATAGAAGATTTACTGTTATGCAGACTACTGCAATATTGTAATAATTGTATAAATAATGTCAACCCATTCGTGACTGCATACTAGAATGGCTAGTTGGATATTTATTGGACAATGATATCATTTGTTTACTTTTGAAGATTGGCAAAAATCAAACATTCCCTTACTTTGAGCTCCATTTCAAGGTTCTTTTCATAGTAAAACCAATCAAAATTACCTCTATTTCTATAATATGTTTTCCATTCTATCAAGTGAGACCAAGAAAACGAGAATACAACCATAAATACTACACGAAAATAGACTACAAAGACGGCATTTTAATCCAAACAAAACGGTCAGAGTTCTTTTTTTCTCATTATGCACTGCATGCTGCAGGATTTTTTTATATGGTGCACACTGACCACACAGACCCGTTCTCTCACATGTGGGCCTACCAGCTTTCTCCTGCTTGATTTGAAACTGCTAGAATTTTTTATTATATATACGTTAAGCATGGTGGCTCGTAAGACGTATATATGCGACTGGAACAGTCAAAGGGTTAAGGAGGGGTTTGGGATATTGGCAGTTTGGTGGGATGTGTAATAGGATGGTATATATATAATTGGGGAACTGATATTGTAATTTATTTTGGGTCACTTTTTATATTGTATCTTTATGCATGCTTCTAATATGTTGTATCTGGGCACCTCTACAAAAACAGTGATTATGTATGAGTGAAGTGAAAGTGTTGAATGATGATGAAAGTATTTTCTTTCTTGGGGATTTTCTTTCTTTTTGGGTCACCCTGCCTAGGTGGGAGACGGCCAACTTGTTGAAGGAAAAACAAAAATGTAACATCACCGACGCTTTTATGTCCCAGTTATCGATGAGTGATCATTTTGTCACCACACGCCACAAAATCACAGGTTCTTATCAGATTCGACTCATTTTAGTCTCATTTCATTCAGAAATATGAACTCTATCATACTAATTTTTTTTTTTTTACAAAATCTTCCCAACGAGACAGGGAATGTTATTTTTTTTTTAGACATCTCGAAGTTTAAGTAATGGCATAGCTAGAGGGAGAGCATGGAAAGTGACTGCTCCTCCTGAGCACATTTTTCAAAAGTGGCTGTTTTCATAATTTTTTATAACTCTTTAGTTCACTTTTGCCAATGACAAGTGTTCCATTTATCCTAACTTGTTCACATTATACTACATTTTTCTGACCTTACCAATAACCAGCACAGTTGTGGAACGATCCCTTAGTTGACTCAAACACCAAGTCTTACCTTCTGAGCAAAGACACTTCCTCTGATCGTATTTACTTGGACCTTGTCCTCTTTTCTGCAACACTGCAAACTCCTGATGTATTGATTGCAACACAAAAGGCCTAGAGCTATCATTCAACTCTCCACATGGTTGTTTTGCATTGCTGAACAAATTTACCAACTACTGTATTATAACTCTTAATATAATTTCAAAGGACAGAAGAGTTTACCATCCATCAACGACCAGCAGTCCCATGAAAATTTTCCCTGTAGTCTCTTGAAGAGCTTGAATCCATGCTAGAGATCCATTAGTAACTACAGTATCTAGCACTGTCCCTAATGCAGAGTAGTCTATACGGTAGATGCTGGGTACTAGAGCAATCACCGTAGCCATAGTCAGACCTGAAATAAAACATTTAGTAAGGTAATACTGCATAAAAATCACACTGCACAGTATTTTACCTTGAGTAACAATGCTTCAATTTGCACACAATTTGCTCCTCATATGTATTTCATTATTTTCAAATTGACACTATTACTTAGAGTCTGTGCCATTATTTCATTTCAGGTTATCCAATTATTTTTCATTAATAAATAACTACATTGAAAGAGGGGAGTAGAAGATGTTTTAGTGTGCAAGGGGTGTGAATGTGCAGCAGGTATGTGTGAGCATGTTAAACAAGAGTGAATGGAGACAATTGGTGTTTGGGACCTGATAAGCTGTTAGAGTGTGAGCAGGGTAATATTTTGTGAAGGGATTCAGGGAAATTGGTTAGCTGGACTTGAGTCCTGGAGGTGGGAAGTACAATGCCTGCTCTTTAAAGGAGGGGGTTAGGATATTGGCCGTTTGGAGTGACATCTAAACTGTCATATCTGGGCACCTATGTAATGACAGTGATTGTGTGTGAATGATGGTGAAAGTGTTTCTTTCATTTTTGGGTCACCCTGCCTCAGTGGGAGATAACTAACGTGTTGGGAAAATACATACATATATATTTTTTTTTACCATCATTCAACACTTTCACCATCATTCACACACAATCACTGTCTTCGTAGAGGTGCTCAGATACGACAGTTAAGATGTCACTCCAAACAGCCAATATCTCAAACCCCTCCCTTTAAAGTGCAGGCATTGTACTTCCCACCTCCAGGGCTCAAGTCCAGCTAACTAGTTTTTCCTGAATCCCTTCACAAAATACAGCCTCTCCTCACTCAGCAACGTAGTACTTGTTTACCGACGACTCGGACTTGCGATAGGTTCTCTGACCAGTATGCATACCTAATTAATGTAAATTGGAGCTGATTTCCTCTATTCTGTTTATTACAATATACAGTACACTATTGCATAAACATTTAGAACTATACTAAAAACTTTATAAATAGTGCAAAAGTGACATTAAAACAATTTCAAAGATGGCTGACACAAAACCCACTACCATTATAGTATGCTCCTTGCTTAGCAATGAATTCATTTACCAATGTGGTCTTAGGAATGGAACGCTGTCGTTAAGTGAGGAGAGGCTGTATATACATGGGGAAGTGGAAAAGAATTCTTCCTCCGTAAACCATGTGTGTTGTAAGAGGCGACTAAAATGCTGGGAGCAAGGGGCTAGTAACCCCTTCTTCTGTATAAATTATTATGTAAATTAAAAAGTGATATGGCCATCTCCTACCCAATAACTGTCATTGTAGACAAAACTGAATCCTTGTCTATAGGTATTTGCTTGTGTTTAGCAAGTAATTTTTTGAAGGTTTACTGTAGTTATAAAATGTAAACAAGAAGCAGGGGCAGTACAGTCTCTCTTACCAAACTGCAGATAATGAGTTGTGTGTTGTAAACTGTCCACTTTGGAGATGACTGCAGACGAGATATCCAGTACCGAAAGATCGACTTTTTTTGCTTCTACTCCTTCCCAAATCTTGCAGCTAACTGGATAGATTAATATGATTCACATTTTCAATACCAAGTTATAACCTGGAAACCTAAATGACTGTTACCAAAACTGTATTCATATGAAATGGTACACAAATAAAATACAAATTCTGTAATCAATTAAAAAAAGAAGTTAAGCAGAAAGAAATATGGTAGCAAATATCTAATTATTACTGTATTATATTTATGGGGAAGAGCTAAACTCACTGGGGTCATATAGTACATGGGAAATCTGGAAGGGAAAGGAATCAGATTTAATACAGGGAATTGGAGAAGAGTTCCACTTCCCTAGACCAAGAGCCTCTCACTGGCAACAAGTCACCTCCCTTGAATGTCACTTACCATAACAATCATAAAATATTTAAGTAAATGCATACTTGAGGAAAAAATTTATACCATATCCTGATGCTTTATTCTTGTAAGATCTCATCTCTAAGGAGATGGTAAAAAATAATCTCCAGACATTTCACAACTAACCCGCATGTCAGAGATTTCAGACAATGCTTCTGTCCAACCTGGATCATTATCAAGTCAAAATGTTCCCTCTGAAATGTGGGTTATTTGTGAACTGTTTCACTTGTGGTACTATGACTTTTATTCTTTGAATACTTTAAATTCTTTCAGTCATTAATTTGAAATCTTTACCGAGGAAATCTACATCAGTGATTGGCTACCACTAAATTGAAACAGCTGCCACCTGACATAGCTTAATACAGTATTTTATTTTTAGATGCATTATACAATATGTACAAATATTCTGAATTATAAAAACAATGTTCACAAATACATATAGTACTTGCATAATTATGGATTTTTTGAAAATTCAATAACTTTTGACTAAAAGGTTAATTAAGCCAATTTCATTGATTGCAATGGATTTGTTTTGATATATTAGTACAGGGAAACTTTAAAATTAACTTTAAGAGAGTAAGAGTATTGAGAGTTTTTGGTCTGGCAAAGAAAAATGGATGGAACACTGAATTAGAGAGACTGCATGGTGTTCATCCAAAGACATGTCTAACTTCTTATCTTGGTTAGGAGCACAAAGGTTGCTTTCTGCTTCTTATTGACTGTGATAATTCCATTAGTGTGTATTTTCTGTGCCACTGCTTGCTACTACAAGTGCTTTTTTTTTTTTTTTTTTTTTAGTTTAATGGTTAGAAAAAGTCAGAAGAAATGGGTAAAAACAGCAATCTGAGTCTTCACAAAGTGGGACAGATAAGCATTTTACTGAGTGATAACACACTGAAACAGGAATAAATAGCAATAAAACTTAGTGTTTCAACTCAGTCAGTAAAATTAAAAAAAGAAATTGAATTACGATCAAGATTTAAACTAAAAACGGGCGAGAAGAGGTGGTAGATAACAGAAAACAACGAGATTAGACAGAAAAATAATATGAATGACTCTTAACAGAAGAGCATCTTGCAGGCAGATTTCCTCTGACCTAGCAGCAGCAGGTGTTAGCCTTGCCAAAAGGACAGTTAATGAGAGACTTTTGGAGAGTGGATTGAAAGCATATCACCATAAAAGATGCGACTTAATGAGCCCATGATACAGAATCATTTAGCCTGGGCTAAGAATCACACTGAGTGAACTTCTGAACAATGGGAACATGTTTAAAAAAAAATTTACAATACCATTCAGCTTCTACTGTCTGTTCTAATGTTGCAGGTGGTGTTCTCTGATGAATCAACCATTGCAGTGCTGGATGACCATATGCTGACTATAAGAAGACAGTCAGGTGAGGAATTTATACCCAAGTGTCTGAAAAAGATGGTCATTTTTCCTCAGAAAATCATGGTGTGGGGAGCCATCTCCATTCATGGATGCTGTATAGCCCTTGTGGCTTAGCGCTTCTTTTTGATTATAATAATAATCCATTCATGGAACAAGTCGCTTCCACATTGTTGAAGTCACCATAAACCATATAGAAGTACTACAACACCAATTACTGCCTCAGATAAGGGATTGGTATGGTGACAGATGTTGGATATTCCAACAACACTCAGCCCAATGTCACATGGTAATATCAGTAAAGACGTGGTGTGCACAAAATGGCATTGAGCTGTTCCCATGGGGTGGAAATTTCCCTGACATGAATCCCATTGAGTCTATAGTCTGTTTTGAAGGACAAAAATACATGAAATTCCCATTATGTACAATCAAAGTGCAACTCAGAGAATGCCTTATTAAGGTTTGGTATCATTCTGCCAGAATCAAGAAATTATGCAAAACTTTGATTGTTGTCATGCCCACACATGTAAGCTAGGGCTGGTCAAACCAAATATTAATCAATGTAAAATAGTTGACCTGTACTCTTGTATCAAAATAAATCCATTAGCAGTTGGTGAAATTGGTTTAATTGACCTTTTAGCAGAAAAATATTGAATTAAAAAAAAATGATAATTATGCCAGTACGTACTATATATGCTTTAGTTACGCAGTACTGTGTTCATGTGAGGGAGTTTACATAGTGAGGTTTGCAGAGTAGTAATATTTTGCCTAATACTGCACAGTATATACATGATGACATAATATATACTGTTCTTAAGTGTACAGCTGTAATACAGTAATCCCTCAATTATCTGTCATTTGCCCAATTGGAAATATGGTTAACCCACCATCCTTTTGGATTAAATTATGATCCCTTGTTTCATCTGAATGGTATATAATTAAATAAATAGTTGCTAGATTTGCAATTATACAGATTGGTGTTAATTTTCTTTTAATAATGTAATAATTTAGATTTCAGTCAATAACATATTGTTTCATACTATGGAACAATGCTCTTCTCCAGACTGAGGGACTGACCACCTCAAAACTTTAAGGGTGATGGACTGATTACATCGTCTTCAAGTATCTTCTGCTTCTATCAACTTTTCTGTACTTGACTGAAGAAGCCTACTGTGTAGGCGAAACGTTTCATAATAAAGATAACTAACTGTTGCATATGTGTCTTACCTAACAACATTAATTGTTGATAATTACAAATGATGGTGAAAGTGTATCTTCGTCACATCACCCTACCTTGGTGAGAGATGGCCAGCATGTTAAAAAAAAAAAAAATTACAAATGCAATGACTGCCAGCCAAAATCAAATACAGTGGACCCCCGCATAACGATGGCATCGCATAGCGATTTTTCCGCATAACGATTACTTTTATCGCAAAATTTTTGCCGCGCATACCGATTAAAAACCCGCATACCGATTTTCGTCCGAGACGCGTCCAATGTGCCCTCAGCCAGCCTCACATGTGCCGCTCCGTCCCATTGTTTACCAGCCAGCCTCCGCGGTAACATCCAAGCATACACTCGGAATATTTCGTATTATTACAGTATTTTCGGTGCTGTTTCTGGAAAATAAGTGACCATGGGCCCCAAGAAAGCTTCTAGTGCCAACCCTGTGGTAAAAAGGGTGAGAATTAGTATGGAAATTAAGAAAGATTTTGAAGGGTTTGGGGCTAACCCTGAGAAGCCTATGCCAGTTGTGGAATCCATTGTGCCTACTTCAAAGATTAAGGAAATGTGTGCAGAGTGGGTTGAACTGCAAACCTTTATAGATGAAAATCACCCTGACACAGCTGTTGCAAGCCGTGCTTGTGACTATTTCAATGACAATGTTATGGCCCATTTTAGGAAAGTCTTGAAGGAACGGGAGGTACAGAGCTCTATGGACAGATTTGTTGTGCGACAGAGGTCCAGTGACTCTCAAGCTGGTCCTAGTGGCATTAAAAGAAGAAGGGAAGTAACCCAGAAAAGGACTTGCTACCTCAAGTCCTAATGGAAGGGGATTCCCCTTCTAAACAGTAAGAAGATAATGCTCTCCCCTCCTCCCATCCCATCAATCATCACCAGATCTTCAATAAAAGTAAGTGTCATGTAATTGTGCATGCCTTTTTCAGTTTGTGTGTATTAAAATTAACATTTCATGTGGTAAAAAAAATTTTTTTTCATACTTTTGGGCGTCTTGCACGGATTAATTTTATTTCCATTATTTCTTATGGGGGAAAATTCATTCGCATAACGATTATTTCGCATAACGATGAGCCCTCTTGCACGGATTAAAATCGTTAACCGGGGGTCCACTGTATAGTGGACCCCTGGTTAACGATATTTTTTCATTCCAGAAGAATGTTCAGGTGCCAGTACTGACCGAATTTGTTCCCATAAGGAATATTGTGAAGTAGATTAGTCCATTTCAGACCCTCAAACATACACGTACAAACGCACTTACATAAATACATTTACATAATTGGTCGCATTGGGAGGTGATTATTAAGCGGGGGTCCACTGTACAGTGGACCCTCGGTTAACGATATTAATCCGTTCCTGAGAGCTCATCGTTAGACAAAATTATCGTTAGCCGAATTAATTTTCCCCATGAGAAATGATGGAAATCCAATTAATCCATTCCAGACAGCCAAAAGTATTAATTTTTTTTTTTTCATGAAATATACACTTCCTTACAAAGAAAACAATGAGACATGCACAATACCTATATAAATAAATGTTAAAATGACACTTGCCTTTATTGAAGAGTACTGATGAGTGATGAGACACTGTTTTTCTTGAACACACTGGGATTTTCAGAGTGATACATGAGTAAAGGCTTCACTTTGCAATCCCCACTAGCATTACAACAAAACATGAGAGTTAGCCTGTCTTTCATAGGCTTGTGTCCTGGGAGTGCCTTTTCCTTCTGAATAATGTAGGTCCTGTTTGGCATTTTCTTCCAGAACAGGCCTGTTTCATCACAATTGAACACTTGTTGGGGTTGAAATTTTTCAGCTTCGCCATGCCGTATCACACTGTGTATGCCACTACGATTCTTAAATCTCTCAAACCAACCTTTGCTGACCTTAAAATCACCAATATGAGCAATAGTTCCAGGCATTTTTTCCTGTTCACCTGGGTGTTAGTCAACTGGTGTGGGTCACATCCTGGGGGACAAGATTAAGGACCCCAATGGAAATAAGTTAGACAGTCCTCGATGA